TACCCGTCACAAATTGATAACCCCCCTCTTCCAATCTATTGCCCCTCTGACACCGTATATATCTATTACAATTCCACGGCCTATTCCCTATGCTGTACTCCATATCCTGTGACAATATATATATAATATATATGTGTATATATATATATATATATATATATTATATTATAGTTGAAATACAGTATTATTCAGTTTCAGTTTCAGGTGTACAATGCAGTGTTCAAGCATCTACACCATCCATGCAGCTATTTAAATCACTATTCTTTTTATTGATACTCCTGTTAAAAAAGCTTTCTTTGAGTAGAGACAAGGAAAATTATCATCTTAGTTTTTAACATTCTGAAATCTAAACATATTCTGTGTCCCCAGAACGGTATCCTGGTGATCAAAATAATTATGTAAAATTGTTTCAAATGAATAAGAAATTCCTCCACAGATAATGTGGGCAAGAATGCGCTGCCTTTCTTTGTGTCCACCAGGCTTGCTGCAGTTTTCCACAGGGCTGCCTCCTCTGCCTGAGGACACAATGACCCTGCCTGTTAGCACTGTTCCACATGTCACTGTGCAGGAGGAAGATGGAGAAGTTAAGTTATTGGTCGTCCGTGCACAAGGACTCCTGGGGAGAGTTATGGTGGAATTTAGAACAGTGTCATTGACGGCATTCAGTCCCGAGGACTACCAGGTAAACCACTTAATCTTTNTGTTAATCTTGTCCTCTCTCCAAAATTCCGGACTCATTTCCCCAGCTGCCTACTTAACACATGTCTTGGATATTTAATAGATATTTCAAACTGGACATACTTAAAACTAAACTCTGACCTTGACTCCCAAACCTGTTATTAACTGATGGGGAAGGAAAAATCAAGCCTGCTTCAAAGCCTGCTATCTATCAAGTCTGACCTGCTCATCTGTTGGTTCTTGCTGAAAGTCAGCCCCCACCACTCTACTCCATTCAAGGGTGGCTCTGAAGGATGAGGGCAGAGCTATGATCAGACCACTTAGCCATTCATCTTATGTGGAGGGAGAAATGGTCTGAAGTATGAAGATAACGTGTCTCTGAGCACAGCTAATGATGTAGTGGATTGGTCAGGATCTTGGAAGAATCAAGTGTAGAGACCAGGAAGTTTGGGGAACAGTCATGTGAATAGACCACTGGGAGTGGAAAGGAAGTATGGGGGCACATTTCCCGAAAGGCTCTCAACAACCAGGAAGTTAGGATGAGGTGTGGACTGGCTGTCAGAAGTCTCTTCACCACCAGAAAGCCATTCAATGAGTGATGCTAGGAATCGAGGCTAGGTTTTGCCCTGACAACATGGCTCCCTCGTACCAACACTGATCTATCAACTGTTGCTCCTGTATGTCCAAACAGCAAGAGCAAAGACCAAAGCGAAGTAATTTTCAATGCACTATTAAGTGGTAGATTGATCCCAATCAGGCCCTTTTACTCCAGAAGGGGGCAGCAACTCATAATTATTGGAATTAATACTTTCTCTAATGAGTTTATCTTCCTAGTGCCTCTGCCACACCATCTGAATGAATGCCCATTGTATCCACGGGGGACCTGCATCATATTACCTGAAAGGGACTTGTATTATGTGAAGGATGTGTAACAATGGACACAGTCATAGGATTCCCTGACTTTACCATATATCACATAACCTGTAGCAGCTGGCCTAGTGTAACAATGGGTTGGCCGGATAAAGACTCAGCCAAGATGCCAGCTAAGGGACAACATCATGTAGGTTTTGGGTGTTGCCCTCCAGGATCCGTATGTGTATTCAATGGCTGATATCTGGTCCTCAATAACTAGATCATATGGGTTCAGAAAGTAAGATATAAAATAAAACGAACCCTATCCCCATCACTCCCAGTGGCCCATTGCTAGAATTTGTGTTTCCTGCTCCCATGCTCTAGGCTCCACTGGATTAGAAGTTCTGGCTCTGACTGGGCCTGAGGATGTCCACCAGGAGATAAACTGAGGGCTCCACTGAACAACCAATTGGTCATTTGGGGCTTCGCATGCCAGTGGACTGGCAGGCAAATAAGGGAGTTACAGTATTGCCCCAGGGGCACTTGATTGTGTTTACTATGAGGCCCTAGGGTTGCTGCTGCTCTTGGGAGTGGGAGCGCTGTGCTCAGTGATACTCGGGGGACTTACTGGTAGGTGGTGCTTCCGTTCTCATTGATAATTGTTTAACTCTTGTCTGTCTGTAGACAAATTTCAAATCTGTTCTCTCTAAACCTAATGTTGGCACTGAAATGGCTCTATCGAATGCTGATGAGAGGTGCTTATGATTAATAGGAAGAACATAAATTAAGATTTGTATTTATCTTGAGATCTATTTAGTTTTAGTTTTTTTCTATCAATTATATGTTTGCTAACATAAAAGTAAAATAAATTGAGAGGCTGAGAATGTGAGTATGAAGACCTTATTCTGAAAGGTATTACAACTTCTTGCTTTTTTTTAAGCATTATTTTAAAGTGTTTAGATAAAAATGTTTTCCACATAACAAACACACACACCTATACAGTTAGGGTCCTGCATATCTGTGGATTTTGTATCCATGGATTCAACCACCTGTGAATTGATAATATTTGGAAAAAATGTTATGTTGTTGCTGACATGTACTGTGGCATAGCCCAAAGTTGTAGTAGGCCTACAGTGGTTGTGTCTGTACTGAACATGTACAGATTTTTAAATCTTATTATTCCCTAAACAATACAATAGCATTTACATTGTATTAAGTATTATAAATAATCTACAGATGATTTAAACTATATGGGAGAATGTACGTAGTTCATATGCTACACCTTTTTTTTTTTT